AGAGATGAAAATGACTTGAAATGGCTATAGACCCTTTTCTCAAGGGCTCCACCACTTTGAATTGTCGTCACTTCCAGTATGGGCGAAAACATTGTTTTGCCACCACCACGCCATTAAAAGACATTTAGGAAATGAGCGTAACCGTCACACATTCTCGTTTTGCCTCCTCTTTATAATTTTACTATTTACAGGTTGAAATGCTTTACTATTTTTTCGTCACCCATACCGGATATGCCTCTTAGGTGGCTGGGAATGAGAGTACACCAAAATGGTTTATTATTGCCTGTAGGCATCTATTTTTTTTTTCAGAATGTCTTGGAAGGTCTATACATGACTATCAGCAACTATTACTGATAATATATGCAATTGGAGCGTTTATACATTTGAATAACTTCAACTGGGTATAATTGACTATGGGCATCTATTATTGACCTGGTTTGCTTGGATTGGCTAATATTAGTAATAAGCCTATATTCTTGACCTGGTTGGCTTGAATTGGCTACAAATGACGACGCGTGACTAGTTCATAAGTAGCTATTTCTGTGTCTACAGACTGAAATGACTTCATGTGGCTATTTTTGGCTATTAGCATCTATTTCTTAGTACAAACTAAAATGGCTTCATGTTGCTGTTTTTGGCTATTGCATCTATTTTTCACTAGATTGACATCAAATGTCTATGAATGGCTATTCATGAATTAAGTTGACAATTATGTGTGATTTCGGTGTTTATATTTAGGTGACTTTTATTCGCTATAAGCATCTATTTGTAATTAGATTGGCTTGAGATGGCTCTAAATAGCTATTGGGAACCAGTAACTATAATTATGAACTGTTTCTATATTTTCGAGCTGGGAATGGCTTCCAGTGGCTATTGTTAGATGGTAACATATATTTTATACCAGATTTGCTTTAAGTGGCTATCAATGGCTGTTTGTGAGTCTAATTGACAATTCTGCACTCGGTATTTATGAATGGATATTGCTTGAAGTGGCTATTTTGGCTTAATGGGTATTTGCTAGTCTTAACAAATTCGGCTTGAATTCCTTCAAACTGGCTATCAGTGACTAATATTATCAATGATGTGGTATATGTACCTAATTGTGACTATTATTGAAACTTTGAAGTTGGCTTGTTTACAGATTTGGTTGATTTCAATTGGCGATGATTGACCATGAGCATCTATTCTTTACCTGGGTGTCTTGAATTGGCTACAAAGTGCTCCTAGTGCCCATTAACCGCAATGTTCTGCTATTATATACTTATGGCAGAGAATGACTTCAACTTGCAATTTTGGCTTTAGCATCTATTATGAACAAATTCGGTTTAAAATTTTCCAGATTGACTATTAGTGGCAATCATTGAGAACACTGGCTACCAATGCCTGCCAATAGCCATTGCTAGCCATTTTAATCCAATATGGTAAAAATTAGGTGCTAATAGCCAACAATAGCCACTTGAAGTCCTTCCCTTCTTTAAACAAAGAAATAGCATATATTTATCAATAATAAACATTAAAAGCTATATGCAGTCATTTCATACCGATCTAATTAAAAATAGATGCTCATAGCCAATAATAACGACTTGAGACCATTGCCATGCATAAACATTTAAATAAAATATATTTGTCAATTATACCTACCAGTAGCCACTGGCAGTCATATGAAGCCAATCTGTCAAAAAGAGATGCTAATAACTAATAATTTTCAATTCAAGCCATTCCCTTTCGTGAACACAGAAAAGCTCATAATTATCAATACTTCTTACTAATAGCCATTTTCATCCACAAACATTGAAATAGCACATAATGGTCAATTATACTCACTAATAGTTTTTGCTAGCCATTTGAAGCCAGTCTGGTCAGAAATAGATCGTAGCCATCTCAAGCCAATATAAAAAAATAAATGCATATGACCAATAATAGCAATTTGAAGTCATTTTCATCTCTAAATACTAAAATAGCCCATGATTGTCAAATATATTCATAAATAGCCAATTGTAGCAATTTGAAGCCGATCTGGTAAAAAACAGATGTCAGTAGCCAAATATGGCCACATGAAGACATTTATGCTTGTGGAGACAGAAATAGCTAATAATTATCAATACTTGTCGCTTATTTTGTATCTGATTCGAGCAAACCAGGTCAGAAATATATGTTTATAGTCAATAATAGTCAAATCAAGCCGATTAAAGGGACACTGACAGTGTATTTATGCTGGCCAAGGTTTTTATTTGTACATAACACGTGAGAGCCCCACTACACAAAACACAATTTGCGGCTCGAAATTCGTTCTTTTTCCGCCCGAAAACCGCCGACCGAGAACTGGCCGGTTCGAGTCGCGCTCACTCTCTTTTCCGTAGTCACGGGCCGTTTTCTAAGGTTTAGACACGAACACCAAATTTAATCAAATTCGTAGGTCATCGAAGGCACGCACACAATATTAAAATAGAAAAGAAATATGATGCACATTTGTTTGTGGTTCCTAAAAAGCTACAACTGCGTCGTTTAGGGCGGAGAAGTATCACGGCCACGTGACTTCTGCCACCTCTCTGCTCCTCTCTGTTTCTTCTTCCTCCCCAGCTCCGTTTCGGTTTCGGTTTCAAGCAGTTGCGTTTTTTTTTTTTTTTTTTTTTTTAATTTATTAAAAATATACTTGACGCAGTAACAAAATATTGATTGAGTAGTCTTCTGACACCAAAATGAATCGCCTGGCAAAAAATTTAAAATAAATTTTGAGGGATTTCAGTGTCCCTTTAAGTCAAGAATAGATGCTTATAGTCAATAATAGCCAGTTGAAATCATTTAAATCTATACACGTTCCAATTGCACAAATCGCCAATAATAATTCCTGATAGCCATGCATAGCCATTTCAAACCATTCTAATAAAAATAGATGCTTAAAGCCAATAATAGCCATTTGAGGTCATTTTCATCCATAAACATTGATTTAGCACAGAGCTGTCAATTATATTTACTAATGGTTATTGCTAACCATTTGAAGCCAATCTGATGAGAAATTGATGTTAATAGCCGAAATAGCCGCTTAAAGCCAAAAGCCATTCCAGTTTGTAAACACAAAAATAGCCCATAACTATCAACACTACATCCTAATAGCCATTTGTAGGCATTGCATGCCAATATGATAAAAAAAGAAATACTTATAGCCAGTAAGAGCTACTTGGAGCTATTTTTATTCATAAATACTGAAACTGCCCAGAATTGTGATTATACTCAGTAATAGCCATTGCTAGCCATTTGAAGGCAATCTGGTCAAAACTAGATGCTAATAGCCAACAATAGTCACTTAAAGCCATTCCAGTTAGTAAACACAATTGCTTATAACTATCAACACTAGTCATTAGTAGCCATTTGTAGCCCATTTCAATCAAATTTATCTAAAATTTGATGCATATAGCCCATAATGACTGCTTGAAGCCATACTCCTTTATACGGACCGAAATGGCACAGAACTGTCAATTATCTCATCAATAGCCATGAGTGGCCATTTAAAGTCAGTCTGGTCAAAAATGAATACTAATAGCCGACAATAGCCATTTGAAGCGATTCCATTTCGTAAATATAAATATAGCTCAATCATAATTATCAATAGTTTGACACTAATAGCCATTTACAGCCGATCTAATCAAAAATAGGTATACTTATAGCCGGAATTAGTCAAAAACAATCACATAGCAGATAATTGCTATTATAATGACTAATAGCCATTAGTAGCCATTTGAAGTGAATCTTTTCAGAAATACATTCTAGCAGCCAACAATAGCCCCCTGGATCGATTCCAGTTCATAAACAGGAATAGCCCTAAGTTTTGAACGATAGTTGTTAATAGCCATTTGTAGCCATATTAAGCAAATGTATATAAATTTGCTTGATATGGGGGCAACTGGCGAGTATTGGCTGATAGCGAAGAATTCCCAGTTGAAGTCATAGTTATTCAGCAACACCGAAGTAGATAATTGTAATAAAATTATGAATTATCTCATCAATAGCCATTGACAGCCATTTAAGGTAAATCTGTTCAAAGATGGTGATAATAGCCAACAAAGGTCACTTGAAGCCCTTTATACGTGCAAACAAAAATAAAATCACATAATTATCAATAGTAATCACCTCTAATCATTTAGAGCCATTTCAAGTCGATATCATCAAAACTTGATGCTTATTGCCAATTATGGTCACTTGGAGCCAATGATATCTATTAAGACCATGTCTGGGTGTAAATAAATAAAAAATATCAACATGCTCAGAAAAGTTTAAAAGGTTAATTATTTAGATTGTGCAAAATCACTATACAAATCCTGACAGGTCTATACAGCACACCGCATTTTGATATCAAAAGACCAAGACGTCCAATATCACAAATTTATTATCCCTATGCTCTATCAAAAAAAAAAAAAATTTTTTTTACTGAGTCAGACCCACTTGCTGTACTTCTGGTGAAAATAGTTGTCCACTTCCTGACACCAGGATAGCTTCCTGCTGCCGTCTCCTATTTCATCCCGTGGAGGTTCCTGTATGAGCACCTTGCAGATCTAACTCAGTGCCGATACGCGCGCCTCTCGCGGCGGCGTCGCGCGTACTCATCGAGAAGCGACCTCGGTAGTCGCAGCATGGTGGTACACCGATGTGATGTGTGTTGCAAGGTCGACATGCCTGCTTGGGATACCGCACTGGCGGAAGCGAGGGAGCAGCGTTGAGCGGCGGCGGAGCTTTACCGCTCTCCCTACGCTGACTCAAAAGTGGCCGCGAGCGGCGCTGTTCGCTGGGCGATCGGTAGCGGCTCCTATCGGGCGCAGTGTGCCCATTAGTCTCCTAAGCATTTGATAGAAGTAACTGCGGACATGTCCCAAGCATCTTTGATAAACGTTTGCTTTATGCTTCATACATGTCTGGAGACAGTTTTTGTATGACCAAGGTGACCATCATGCAAGGAGGAAACACGCTTCTGAAAGCGTCTGCAAACTGTAGTTTGTGCTGTGCAGGGACTACATTTATCACGTCCTGGTGGCAAGCAAGTCGAAGCACTTCAACTTCTCCACGCTGTTCGTGGACGAGCGCCTAGGTGACTCCGAGCCAAACCGGGCCCTGCTGCCGGACCAGCCGCGCACGGACAGCTACCTGGTGTACCAGACGGCCGTGCACTATAACTACCAGCTGCCCCGGCACCAGCAGCACCACCACCAGAACCAGCAGCGTCACCAGCAACTGCAGCGGCAGCATCAGCACCATCAGCAGCAGCACCAGGAGCATCACTTACAACAGCATCATCAGCGCCAGCTTCAGAATGACAACGATGACTGGGGTGACGAGCCGACCATTCTGCCACCCGCCTTCGTCTATCACAAAAGGTGGGGCCCTATGGTCACTAACGAGACGAGGAGCGGAAGGCGTCTCTTTCCGATGCCCATCCTGCGCGAGGTTGGCGTTCGTGCCCACCGTCATGCTTTGGCTCACGATTCGCGGAAGCATCACCGAAGCTAAAAAGCTCGCGTTGAGGCGGGGCAACTAAAAGTTCTCTCTGCCGTTCTCATCCTGTTTGTGTCTGTAAGTCTTTCACCTCATCACGACCGGGTAGTGCCATAATGGCACGTTGCCCGGTAATAGGGAGTTTTAGCGAGTCGTTTCCACACGAACGGTCCGTCCTCGAACGGATCGGCGACGGCACTGCGCATGCGCGCGCGAGTCGTTGGGGGCTTTGGGAGGCTCTTCTGGTTCGTTTCTCCCACTCCGGCCGCTGGAGTCGTTACCGGAACACAGCCAGCACCGTTCATTACTCGGGGAAAAAAAAAAAAAAAAATGGTGGCGGTCGGTTTGCCCGCCGCCTCAGCCAACGTTAGTAAGGCCCACTTCAGACGGGGCAATTTCTCCCAGCAACTTGACGTCGCAACACCAGCAACACGGGCCGCCCGCGTTCACACGCAGCAACCAAGCGCTGCAGTTTGCCATCATCATCATTAATTTGTTATTTTTATTGCACTATTTGGACAGACAGTTACGCGCTATAAACGTGTTTTTAGACATTAAATGGCGTTGAAAATACTAACTAATCTTTCTGAAGCGGTTTATTTCCAAAAGAACAATACATTTCAAACCAGAACCATGTCTTATATTCTCATCATCACCGGTACGAGGTAACACGGGAAAATATCGTGTCCATGATTGGCCTGCTGCCACTTCAAACATCTTCGAATTGCTCCGAGTTGCTCACTTGTTTCGAGCCGGACCCGATCTCAGCAATTCGTGTCGATCTAGGGAAAGCTAAGGAACAACCCGCCAGCAACCCTTAAATTGCTGAGAAAGTTACCGCGTATCAAGCGGGCATAAAAGACGTAGTTGGGAGAGAGAGAGAGAGAGAGACATGTTTTTATTTGATGAGGGGTTCACCCGCTATGGAGTTGTGCTCCTGAGACGGGAGGGGAAGGGTTGTGAAGGGTGAGGGGGTGAGGAAGGTTTCATGATGATGGTAGTGACGTCTTAGATGAGGCTATGTACACCCGACTCCCTGATATACTGTATAGCTCACCTTTTAAACCTGGGCCGCTGGCGTCCACTGAGACCGAGCTAAATACGATAACAACGTCACCTTTTAGCGACAAGTTGAAACATGAAAATTGATTTATATGGCTACGGTTGGAGTCACTTAATGTTCCCAGAGTGCCGAAACTCCCGGGCTCGAGGCGCCAAGATGGCGGCTCAATCTTTTTTTTTTTTTTTTACTATATGGTCACCATGGAGGTTTTAGGAAGCATGCTTTTGCCTAAAAACAAGTAGAAAAAGCTCTTTTTGTGGGAACGTTATTGGAAATTAGTACAAAATCGCAGGCGCGTGAAGTTTTCTAAAAAACTTTAGTTGACAAGGTTTTGCGACACAATTAATACTATTTCTATACAACCATGTCTTACCGATGATTTCAGGCAGCGCGCCCCGACCTGGGTGCGTCCTAACTTTGGTAGTGATTTGCGGTGCGTCCGCTTTGGAGACGGTTGTTGGCATCCCTGAAACCCCTTCCACCGGATATGTTTCGGTGCCAAAATGGCCGATTAAATCCAAAATAGAAGAGTCGCAGCGGACGCTATCAAATGCGATACTCCCGAATCAATACAAGCAGCCGTGCAGTTCTCCGGGTGGCTTTTGCGGGAGAAATGGCGGCGTTGCGATCGCCATTAGTTCGGTTCTCGAGTGCGAATCGGTGCCACTTTTTCAGAGCAGGCTCTATGGCAGTTACCCAACTGAGTTACTCAAGCAACCTTGGCCTCGGCCGAGCGTTAGGCTTAGAACAGCGGGAGGCGATTTGCCATCCATTTTAGTCTGCTTCACTTGAGAGGTTGAACCAAATCATTTCGAGGACGGCTCACAATGGTAAGCGATTGCGAATGCTGTAAACAACGCATGCTAGTCATTTTTAGCGATCTGTGGGCTGACTATAGCTGCCGTGGCGACCGCGAACCGACAAAATGATTCGGTTCGACAGCACACAACGTGAACGATCGTTCAAATTCAAGGTGACAGGGACACACCACCTACCTTTGCGGTTGTTCAGACACTTTTTACTCTATCTAGCTTTGGGGGTCCTGAAATTCCGACCGGTAGATGTTACGTCGGCCGTCTTTTTTACATCATTCGTACGCCGAAAACACAAGCCGCCACGGTTTTGCACGCTGCAGAATGTTTCACATGTTTACTAGAAGATGGCGCTGCCGGTCAAACGCAATCATCATCAACGTTTACACGGTTGCGCCAGTTTTACAATTCGCAAAAATGCGTTAAATCTCACTTACGGTTTAACAGGACCATGGAGTTATTATGATGTACTCTAAAGGTTCAACTGACGCTAGTGTGCTGCGGCAAATTGAAGCAGCTGCAAATAAATTATTATTTCCAGTCGGAAATTGACTTCTGGTAATGCACTTCTATAGAAAAAAGCGAGTGCATTTTCTCCCTGCGCTTGATAAAAAGGGCAAATATCACGAATGATCCGTACGTACTAGGTAGAGTGGAACATTTCTCAGTCACGCAGACGAAATAATTGGTCAGTTACGGCCTTTTAATTTTAAATTCGTGGCATGAAAAACGGTGCTAAAGCTGCTTCGTAGTATTTATGTGCACTGTCGGTCAGTGTTAGCGCGAACACAGCGTCGGCACTTTCCAGGTTAAGGGCATGAATCAAACCAAGAGAGACGGTAACCACCTGTAACTACTTGTGCCTGGAGAGAATCAAAATACATTGAAAGCCATTTAATATAGTTCAATTTGCAATAAATAAGTACTGCTTTATTCTTTCTGCTCAAAAATATGTGCAAAGATGCTTGTTCTGCGTTCAAAACATCACCCGCACGCTCAAAATATATGAAAATAGCTAAAAGCCAGAGAACAGGTGCCCGATAAAATCTGCCCGACATAGAAAATAATAAAAAGACGCACATTTCAAAGCCCACGTACGCTACTCTTTATGTTTCGATTTTTATTTTTTACATCTTGTAAAGATGCACGACGGAGACATTTTCATATAGTAATAGGACGGGCATATTATAAATATATATTAGCACCACCGGAATGCTGGTGAACCTTGAGCACACTCTACATTCCTTTTGATTGTTATTTTGCTTAAAATCGTCGCTCGGTTTTACGCGCCTGCCACGGAAAAGAGGTTTTGGTCTGAAATATAGCCAAATTTAACATCGTTCAGTACTAAAAAAAGACATTTCGTAACTAAAGCAATTACACTTTTACAGTGTTAATAAAGGTATATACTATCCGGTACGACCCAAAATAACAAAAGTTATCTATGATATTTTGCGTCGAAGAGACAAAATGCACGCGCATTTTCTCACAGGAATGTACTGGAGCACCGCAAAAGTGGACTCGTGGCTGTCTGCTTCAATTTGTCTCTCGAAAGTCGCATAGGCACCAGCGCCAGTTGAACCTCTAGCGTACATTTTTATAACTCTATGGACAAGACGCGCCAGTTGCACCGTTAATAATTTCGTAACCATGTGCTCCAAAAACGACGCGCTTAAACCCTCTGATATATTTTGGGGCCTGTTGTTAAGGTGCAACCCCACCCCTGGTTAGTGTGATTCTGAACCAACAGATGGCGGTATGATCGCCTTCCAGGCCTGTACATCAATGCGAGAAATCGTGTGTGGTGGCGCTTGGATACAGTTGGATATTCCTCTATATCCAGAATTTGACATCCCTGGTCCCTTGCTTGGTTTTCTCTGTACGAGCTTTCTTTGGAACGCGGACGGCTGCGCCAGTTCTCGTGCAAGGGGGCTAGTTGCCACGCTCCGAGCTCACGTCTCCAGCAAATGTAGGCAGAACAATACGCTAAAATCGTCCTGAGCCAAATGGCGAGACACATGCACAACAAAACTATCGACGCGTTGAAAAATATAAAATTGCCTGTGCGCCGTTATCGGAGATTTCAGAGGCCAATGACACATATTACAATGTGATCAGATTTATACTGATACGAATGAGGGTGACGAGAGGACGAACAGTGAACTGAAAAATAAAGGTTTATTCGGCGAACTTGTTCCAAACAAAAAAAAAGTAAACAAAGAGCGTCGAGGCAGGGGAAAAGCAGGCGGCGATTCGGCAGCGTAACAAAGAGCGAGAGCGAGACTGACTCGACAAGGTCGCTGGCAGCTGCTTATCTAGAGTGCGTCACGTCACCATCTCGAAAGTCACGAAAGTTCGGCAAAGAAGGTTCGAGCGTCGCGCGTTCGGGGCGAGGATGAACTGGCACTTTCGAGGACAAGAAAACAGGGCGAAAGTTCCGTCTGGTGCAAGAATGAACGCGAATCTTCCAGAAGTCCGTGACCGAGCGTTGCTTTCTCGGCTCTGCGGGCGGCAATATGACGGGCCGGCCCTTTTATCGTGCATGTGTTTCGATCTTTCTGGATTTCCAGCAAAACGTGATGGCGTCATAGTCTAGTTTCCAAAATTCTAGCTTGAGGAATTAACTACTTAAAGAAAAGACTATTTTTGGGCGGTCAGGTGTCTCATTTAGGTAGCTGGGTGTTTATTTTGACCCAAACCACGAGACTGGAAAACACAAAAAATAACACTCACGTTTAGATGTTGAGTTTGGTAAACCCAAAGTAGAGACTGGTGCGGGGTCATAATAAAAAATGCCGAGGTTAAAAATAAACTCACACCAATAAAGAATAATTAATTTTAATACGAATTCGGTGATGAATGCAATGACTGACCAGGCAAAAATTCTGGGTCTGTTGATAGATTTTGCACATAGTTTAAGCAACTTGCAGGGTGTCACAAAAGAAAAAAATACAGGTTTTCTTTTTACCGCAAGAATAAACTAGGTATCGCCGAACGCTCATTCTCC